TATATATATATATATACGCACGTACACTCGCACAGCATATATCAGGAGCGTATGGACAAATATTTGTCATTATAGGCTCCTGCATATATGCATATATATGGTTGCAAATCGCACACACATATATAGTTTTAATTGGCATTATTGTGAAAACGGTGATATTTGTAAATCAGGGTGGCAGGTATATTTGAATATAGAAAAATATAATCTCGGCTAAAATATAACCTCTAGCTATAAGATCATGTTATTCATGTAGATAAAGACTAAAATTGTCAACACTGGTTCCACGACTTTCAAAGCTATCGTGAAAAAGGTTTCTCCCATACATGTAACGTTGGTGACAGTCCTCATTAAAAATATTCCCCCACGATAGTTTGATTGGCACCGCCATTAATATTAATTTTTATGTGGCGTAGCCCACTCCAATATGCTGTTTAGTGGACTTGGTGACCAAAAATATAATAATTGTTCATATTATTATGTGTGTTATTTTATCATGGTCCATCGCAGCTAACGTCCGTGATGGCTACTATAGCTAATTATAGTTATATACCTATATAGAGCCTACGTACAGGCCATAGAAATCATATATCTCTATATCTCTCTCTATATGTCTCTATATATTTCTATGGTACAGGCCTATACAAAATAATAATATTATTTCCTAATTCAACTTGAAATTTATATACTATAATGTATTTCCTTACTACAATATTATAGATAATTATATCCATTTTTCAATTCAAATTATTCATTTAAAAAATTAAGCGTTTGTTTTTATGCACTCCCGATACCATCTAATCATAGCATTGGTCGCTCAGGAGCGTGAATTATTTTCATTAGTTAGCTTTGCGTGTATTTGTTGGATGCACACGAACGTAGGCCTACGTACAGACACTCAACACGTATAACATGTATTTTTTGTGTCGCTGAACAAAAGCTCACATTCGTGATTGAAAGGACACCGTGCTTCTATTTTGCGTCTATTGTTATCGTTGCGTTGTTATTATATTCTCATATATGGCATCGGTTTTGGCCGTACTTTTTTTTACCTTTTTCTTATGCGTATTGTCTGAATGTTGCCGCGTGCCGCTAGGTGCCGCTGCTGGTTGGAAATGATCTCGTTTGTGAAAATTTAATAGAATGATGTGCTTGTCAAATCATCAGCAATGCGCGTTGCGTTTGTGTGTTTGCGTGTGTGCGTGCATGCGTGCGTATGCGCGCGTGCGTGCGTGCGTGCGCATGTGTGCTATGCTTGTGTGCGCGTACGTACGTGCGTGTGAATGTGCGGTATGCATGTACGCGTGTGTTTATGTGCGTGCGTACGTGCGTTTACGTGTGAGTGTGAGTGTGCGTGTGCGTGTGCGTGGGAGTGTGCGGCCCACGCGAGCATTCAGGGAGTGTACAGACTGCTTTAGAAAATAATATGATTTAAGGAGTGTTAACCTTGTTCAACAAACTTTTGTCTTTGCAATTGAACTGCAAATGTAGCCTCACATCCACACAGGTATATGGGCTCTAATAATAGCAAAAGCAGTTCAGTCCTTTGTTAACAGTCAACAAATCCATGTTTAACCCTCCTCTTGAGGGTCAAAAGGTTATCAGACACTTACTCTTCGCACGTCAGTGGAAAGCACATATCATGGTCCTTTCAATAAAGTGATAAAAATGGTAGGTCAGTGCTGAAACAAAAAAGTTTTTCACTCTGTCCGTTAGGCCATGTCCTCAGAAAATGTATGATATCTGACCTTTCCCCCACTGCTCTTTGACCTGTGACCTACAATTTCGCACTGGTGATGGGTTTCCTGCCCATCACACTATACACCGAATATTAAGAGCATAGGTCGAGCCGTTCAGATTTGTGCCACAATTCCGTATTTCCTCCTATACACCTATTTCCTCCTATAAGGGGAAAATATTCCCCCTCCGTTTACACATCTTGACCTTTGACCCTTGACCCCCAAATTGATCATTCCGAGT